CACTCGCCGCCCTGTCCACGAACGCAGGCTGGGCCCCACACGTCCATGTGGAGGGTCTGCAGGCGAACCTCTGTCGGGGGAAACGAGGAGGAGTGAGGAGCGGCGCGCTGCTGCCCCTCGACACAAGGAAGGCAGGGCGGCGCAGGCGAGGGAGGGAGGGGAGGGAGAGACCTGGGAAGACCAGACACAAGGAGGCGACAGTGCATGCCACATAGACGTGGCAAGGAGGGGTGACCCAGACGGTGGTGCCAGAGAAGATTCTGGTGCGACAGGTAGCGACACTAACAAGGGGAGGCTACCTGACTTGACGCAGACACCTGACCAGTAGCAACTACCTGAGGAGGCGCAGTCGTCAGTGTGTAAAGACTCGACCCTGGCCGACGGGTAAAGGTGGCCAGGTGGCGGCCGGTCCGGGAGCACGTACAGATCGCCACATGCTGTCCTCCAGGGGTAAAGGTGTCGACCCACTGGTCCTAGAGAACTGCGTTGCTCACCAAGTTTGTAGAGAACGAGGGGAGGTGGAGGCCCGACAGTGAGCTAGACGGAACTGTGGGGCACATGAGCACAGTTGTGGACCGTGCAAGAACTCGGCCCCTTGAGGGGTCAGCCAGAGAGACTGCAACAGGTGCAGTGAGTGGTGTGGGTGCAGTACTGTCACGAAAGAAGCAGCGAGAAGCACCTGATTCAAGTGTGAAGGTGTGCAAGGCCTCAGCAGGCGCAGTACCTGAGAGAGCAGACTCGCTCGCACCTAAGGCAGCAGCCTCTATACATGGGTGAGGCGGCATACACAAGTAACAATCTCCCTCAGCACTAACAGTCAATGCACACATGGCAGCAAGGATAGCATCATAGTCAAGAGCAAAGATGTCTACACCAGCCCTAAGCAGCTCATGCCAGCGAGGGTGCTGACTTCCTCGCCCATCTCCTCGCGCCAAGCGTCGTCAAGGCGGGAGAAGCAGCGGTGCTGGGTGTGGAACTTCCCGCATGTCTGACCAGTGCGGTCACTTGTGCGAATGACATACGGGCAACGACCACTACCCCCAGACGTCTCACGCTGAGCAAGCCACTCACGAAGCTGCTGGGGCGTAAGAGTCTCACGGGGACGCTGCTGCTGCTGCTGTCTCTGGCCAGCGCCAGCGCCTCTGCCTCGACCGCCACCGCCACCGCCGCTCCGACCGCCACCGCCGCCGCCACCCCCTCCGCCACCACCACTTCCACCTCCACTCCCACCGCCGCCACCGACGCCACCACTCCCGCCAGCATTCCCGCCACCACTCCCTCCGCCACCTCCTCCTTCTCCACCTCCTCCACCACCACCCCCCCCCCCCCCCCCCGGTGCCACCTCCGCTACTCTTGGCTCCCTTGCCCTTGCCGCTGCGGCGCCTCCCACTAGGAGCAGAAGCAGCACCAACAGACTCAGCACCAAGGAAGTCAACAGCAACGGCAGTAGCGTAGGAGGGGGCGAGGGGAGAGGGAGAGCACCCCTCAAAGATGGGGGTGCGAGGAGCGCCACGAGCAGCACCTACAGTGATCAAGCCAGTCTCGGCGGCTAGAAGGTGCTCCTCTAGGAGGTCGACAGTGAGATCGGTGGGACAGCGAGCGAGAAAGTGGTCCCTGACCGAGCGAAGAGAGTCAGGGAGACGGGTCACTATGAAGTGGAGGGTCCAGTACATCGAAGGCGGGTTCTTAGCTAAGAACTCTTTGGGGAGGGCGGCGCGAAGGCGAGTGTCACTAGTGCGAAGGTGGGTGATAAGATCGGCAATTGTGGCAAAGGTGGATAGCTCAGGAAACATGTAGGGCAGCATGAGGTGGCTAATTGCAGCAGTGGCAGGGGAGGAGTATCGAGCAACTACAGCATCGTACAGAGCCTTAGCGGTTTTGTGTTCGCCAAAATGCGCGAGTTCGGCTAACGGCAGGTGGCTGCGAACGGCTAGGCGAGCAGCAGCGTCATGAGTTTGCCACTGGGAACGGGCGCTAAGCTCAACTGTGGCAGCAGGAGCGACTGAGGCACCAGACGTGTGGTCAAAGAGAGAGACATTGTCCTTGCTATCGCTCAGTAGGAACAGCTGCAGGTCATCGAGCCAGCTCTCAAACTGAATCGGGCGGCTCTCAGTATCGAACGACAGAATGCGGAGGGTGGCCATAGCTGCTGGCGCGGGACTAGCAGGGCAGAGCAAATGCAGGCAAGCAGCAGTAGCAGGGGCGGCGCACTCGGCTGAAGCGGGAGGCCGCAATAGGGGCAGGCACAGAGGCGGCGCGCTGGGCGTAGCGGGCGGCCGCGGCTGTGGCAGGCGGTGCTTGGGGCTGCAGGCGGCCGGCAGGGCAGCAGAGCGTGCGGCGCGTGGGGCGTAGCAGGCGGCCGCGGCTGTGGCAGGCGGCGCGCGGGGCTGCAGGCGGCCAGCAGGGCAGCTGGGCGGGCTGCGCCCAGGGCGTAGCGGGCGGCCACGGCAGCAGGGCTGGCGGCGCACGGGGCTGCGGAGCAGCGCGACGGGTGGCGCGCGGGGTGTAGCAGGCAGCCGCGGCAGGGGCAGGCGGCGCGCGGGGCTACATGCGGCCGGCGGGGCAGCGCGCGGGGCACAGATGGGGCAGCGCGCTAGAGAAAACGCGCGCTGCAGCAGTGGCGCGCGGCCAGCAGGGGCAGCGCACGGGTGGCGTGCGCGGGGCAGCGCGACGCGGGGTAGGGCAGTGGGGTAACGCGGTAACCGCAGTCGGAATGGTGGGCCCGAAAAAAAAAACGGTCCTACGGACCTACTACTTCGAAACCATGTCAAGATGAGAAGCTAGAATGACTGCATTTAATGAATTGTGGGTACAAGTACTAACCCTAACATTGGGTTGTACCCATAAGAGCTACCCCACTATAGCCTACACAGAACTAGCACAGATATAGTTTGACAGAGACAACTTATCCATGAACCCTCCTCATGCTGCCCCTTCTTGCCTACTTCTAAGCAAGGGAAGGGCAAAACGGAGGGAGGAGGGAGGAGGCAGAAATCAAAAGGGAGTGGTAGCGTGGAAGAAAAGGGACGAAGGAAAATGGGGAAATAGAAGGGGGTTGCGTGCAATTAGATTAGGGATAGAACATAACTTCAAAAGAAAGGGTGGCAATTTCAGCATAAAATAGGAAGGATGAAACATATTGGCTGCTCAGGCACTTCTGCAGCTCTGCATGGCTATACTCACCTGGCACTTGTGCACTCAGGTGCTCGGCAAAAAACAATCCCAGAACTTGCAGCCAGACCTGGCAACAGATCATTCAAACACACTCACATACACTCATTCAACAGACCATTCAAACACACTCACATACACTAATTCAACCGATTAATCAAACACTCTCACATACACTCATTCAACAGATTATTCAATCACACTCACATACAAGCTCACTCACGTCACAACTACCTCACTGTCTCATTCAACTCCCTGACCAGCCCATCAACAGCCCTGGCATGCACCCACTGACACGGACACTCTCTCTCACTAGCACACACTCTTGCTCGCTAGCACACAATCCATCTCACTAGCACACACTCTCACTCGCTCCCGCACTCACTCACCAGCCCATCAACAGCCCTGGCATGCAACCACTTTGAGAGCTGCTCCTGTGACAAAAGGATGAAGTGGTTGCATACCATACTCACTCATCATCATACACACAAAATTTATCACTCTCTCACTCACCAGCCCATCCAAAGCCCTGGCATGAGCTCAGCTTCTTGTGTGACCACTAGTAACCATTGTTGTGCTGGGCAGTCGACAGGGCAGCTCGTGATTGGACCTGCCATGCACCAATAGCATGGTGGTAGAGCATCAAGAAACCACATGACCCACGTGACACGAACTTTGTATTTGAGACGTGAGAACATGCGGAGACATGTCATAACATGCAAGCAGCAGTGAGCTACGATTCTTGCCGGGAACACGTGGCTATATGCTCAAGCTGCCACTCTTGTCCCATGTGAAATCACCTGTAATCGGCCTGCCATTCACCCCCCCTTCTTCCCCACCGGACCTCGCGTGCTAGTTCGAACTGGACCTGTTCGCAAGCGATGCTGTCAGACCTGTGTAAGCCATGAAACAAATGGTGGATGAGGTGAGCAGGGTTATGGCACAGCACGGCATACCATGGAACTGCACGACATGGCATGGCATGGCATGGCATGGTATGGCATTGTATGGCATGGCATGGCTGCCTATGTCTTCACCCAACCTCCTATTTTTCATTCCTCCCTCCCCCCTCCTCTTCTCCTTTCCGCACCGCCCACACCCCTGCGCCCGAGAGTAGGGGGTATCCTTAGTGCACGTGACACTCCCATGCGAGGGCGACTGCCAGGTCATGGACCCATGGCCCCGCAGTGCGGCGCTTATTCACACCTCTCCTTTCCCTCCTTTCCTCCCGTCCCGCACCATGTGCCCAGCGGTTCGGGGCATCGTAGGTACATGTGACACTTCCATGCGAGGGAAACTGGCAGGTGATGGACCCATGGCCCAGCAGAGCGGAGCAGATACACACCTCTTCTTTCCTTCCTCCCCACCCATCCCGCACCATGTGCCCAGCGGTACGGGGTATCGTCTGTGCATGGGCACCACGCAGAGACCGATTAGCAGGTCGTAGCCCACCATGGCTTCCTGTAGCGCGTGATGGGCAAGGAGTACTGTGGGATGTTGTTTGCGGACCTCAAATTCGCACCGCCCCATGAAGTGAACTGAAGGTGTTACAACCTTATTCCGTTGCATTGCTGATCGAAATCCAGGCACATCATCTAAAATTCACCTCACCCAAGCACCCACCCAAGGATAAACACCATACTACGTACAAACACCAACGTAGCATAGATTAACACCCACGCAGAAGGACCATATATGCACATGAGCATTGCTAATATCCAAGGGTCATGCGCACTACTACATGATCACAAGGCTAATATCCATTGTAGCTGGCAGAAGCTCTCTCCATACAGGATTCTAACAAGCATCACCCTCTCACCAACATGCATCTATGGACACCGATACTTAGCTTTTAAAGCCCTATGCAAGTCCTCGCATTCTTTGATCTTCTGCGCGCTGGGCTTTTTTCCTTTGATCAGACCAAAAAAGTACGTGTTGGGCGCTGAGCAATCGCTTTTCACTTCATTGCACGCCATCTGGTCTGCAAGTGGGCGACAGCAAAGGGGGGCCTGTTTAGTCGACTACTTCACTTCGGGGTACGGGCCAGGAGGTTGGACGGCCGATATTCACCTCAGATTTGAGCTGTTTAAGCGCGCATTTTACTACAGCCAGCTCATTTTACTCTGACAATGCTGCCCAGCCTAATGGGCAACATGGAATCATCAGCTTCCTGTACTATTCAGAAACAGCAGAAAACAAAAGAAAGAAAGAAACGAGTAACCGCAGGAATTAAAGTCTATTCATGTGCAGGCTCGGCTTGATCATTCTTACAAGAATCTGCAGTCGGGGACTGCAGTTTGCGGTGACTCTGCTCGTCCCCCGCACTGGCCCGAGCATCACTCAGCGCGCTCTCTGCCGTGATGGCGCCGCCGGCGGTGTCTACCGCTCCCGACGCACCTGCCGCCGCGCCATGCCGACACATGGATTTGCGCAGGGGAGGAAGAGACAGGGGGAAGGGGTGAGGGGCGTGGGGGAAAGGAAATTAGTGGCACCTTTTTCTCGCGGCTTGGGGACGTGAGGCATGGTCGGAGGCTTGGTCGGATGCAGGGGTGTGCAGAGGGGTGCAGAGGGAGACGCGATGTTCCGTGCACAGCGAGTCTCTCGAGAGAGTGAATGGCTGGAGAACAAGTAGCCGCTTGACACGGTGAGAAGGGGGGGATGGTGGGAGGTGGGGAAAGTAGAGAGAGGGGGCAGCGCGAGTGAGGAAGCAACAATGTGTGCAGGTACGACGCAAGTGCCATTCATCGTCGTTCACGCTTCTTAAAGCCAAGCATGGAGGACTCTCAGGTTTTTAAAATGCGCGCCACCATCGCACGGGTCTGCGACTTATTATCGCACGATTCTGTGACGTGCCATCGCACGGGTCTGCAACTTGCCATCGCACAGGTTTGCAACTTTCCATCGCACAGCTCTGCCACTTAGGACGTGGACACTCCCACAGATTTTGGCGATCGATCCTGCCGCAGGATGGTTTTTTTACGGCGTTTAAAAAGGTGAAGAAATATTTAGCAGGTTTTCTGTGCGGTGGCAGATCGAGTTTGCATGATCGATGGAGTGCCCACGTCCTTACCATCGGCAGTCATCCCATTGCCAAGAAGCCGAACAGACCGAGCAGAAGCAGTAGAAACGAATGCGAGAGTGACGGTGACGGCAAGCAGTAGAGCGAGAGCAGTAAGCAGGCGCGCCATGCTTTCTACTAGTAGCTAGTGAAGGGGATGCGGGGAGTTGGAAGCGAGTGAATCAAGAGCTTCGAAATGTCGGACTGGTGTTGGGAAGGAAAAGCGTGGGTATTTGTGTGGCGTGAGAGCGCGGATTGTGGTGGATGTGAGTATGGGTTGAAACGGGATTTTATGCTCGGCGTGGTGACCATCGCGAATCGCTATCCTAAGCGAATCACAATCGAGAAGCTCGGTGAAACGCGTTCCAACCATCTTGGGTGGTGTGGTGTGTTACGCACGCTTGGGTGGTGTGGTGTGTTACGCACGCTTCTAGTGCGTTAAATATGGATACGAATCGGTTTGCTTGAATCGCAAACGGTTGATCGCGTTCACAAGTCGTGGTGTTTCACGAGCCGTACACATTTCTCTTTCACCCTGACTGCCCGAGCTGAGACCTGTTGGAAATGGGATCTCGGTTCCAGTTTCAGTAGTGGTTGTGGGAACTGGGAACTGGAAAAGGAAGCGCTAGCTATGGGGATGTGACCTCACCCTAGACCAGGAATCCTGGTTACAAGTAGGCATCGAACATTAAATCTGCACTGAGAGTCTGGTTTTGAGTAGGGTTTCCAGATCAGAATTCCGTTAGTTCTTCGGTGGAGTCTGAGTTTTACGTGTACCATCTACCCTTCAGCAACCGCCACTTTCTGCACATCACCCAGAAAAATACTTGACTCGTGTAGTCTGCTCCCCAAAACTGTTTGAATCGCCGTGAGATGCGGGGGAGTCTACAGAAAGTGAATTATGTGAACTACATGCCTTTGATTTGCAATACATAATTAAATTATATATGTATATACAGAATTCTTTACTAACTGTTACGAGTGCAATTGAGTGAAGGAACGAGAATTTCACTATCGAAGCAAGAGTACAATGAGCGAAGGCATGAGCGAAGAATATATAGCGGAACTACAGTGGTAACGGTAATGCGTAGAAATAGGGTGCGCGACGGGCCTAGCGCTGAGGTTGAGAAATGACGAGGCGGAGGTCCAATGCGCGGGTTACCACTCGAACCGTGAGGTTGGGTCGCGTCGTGAACAGTGGCGGGAACTGTGTCGAGGCGAATGTCGCGATAGGTAACGGATTTCTGTTAGGTGCTGTTGGCGGGAACAGTGGCGTACGTGCTGAGCAGGGACGCGAAGTAAGGAAAATAAAATTTCCGTACACTACCCACCCCCCCCCCCCCCCCCCCCCCCCCCCCCCCCCCTTAAGGAGCCCCTCCTTACAAAAGCGCGTGTATGTCCCGAAAATTTCGGCTGTGCAGATACTCGGCGAGGACGGGGTGGTTTTCAATTTTGTCCACGGGAACCCAGTTGTCTTCGATGGGCGTACGGTCTCTCTAGCGGATCAGGAACTCGATCCGTCGAGCTCGTCGTGGGTCACGGACTCGGATTTTCTCGGGCATGATGATTGGCTAAGTTGGCGGTCGTGTCAAACTATATATGTGTTAGATCTGTATAGGCTATAGTGGGTAGCACATATGGGGTACAACGCGAAGTTAGGGCTAGTACCTGTACCCACATTTCATTCAATGCAATCGTTCCTGCTTGCTATCTTGACATGGTTTCAGAGCAGTAGGTCCGTAGGACCGTTTTTTCTTTCAAGCCCACCATACTTAGCTTCCGACTGCGGTTAACGCGTTACCCTACTACCCTGCGTCGCGCTGCCCCGCGCACGCCCTACCTTGCCCCGCGTCGCGCTGCCTCGCGCACGCCCTGCCCTACCCTGCGCCGGCGCCCTGCCTTGTGCCAGCGCCCTGCCCTGCGCCAGCGGCCTGCCCTGCGCCGACGCCCGCCCTGCGCCGGCGCCCTGCCCTGCGCCGGCGCCCTGCACTGCGCCAGCGCCCTGCCCTGCGCCGGCGCCCTGCCCTGCCCTGCGCCAGCGGCCTGCCCTGCGCCTGCGCCCTGCCCTACGCCCGCGCTGCGGTCCTGCGCGTCGCGCCCTACGGCAACCCGCGCGTTGTGCCCTGCTGCCCCGCGCGTCGCGCTCTACTGCAGCCTGCGCGTCGCACCCTAAGGCAGCCCACGAGTCGTGCGGTACTACCTCGCGCGTCGTGCTCTACTGCAGCCCGCGCGTCGCGCCCTAAGGCAGCCCGTCGCGTCGCGCTCTGCTGCCCCTCGCGTCAGGCACCGCTGCAGCCTGCGCCAGCGCCCTGCCCTGCGCCAGCGCCCTGCCTTGCGTCCGCGTCCTACCTTGCGCCAGCACCCTGCCCTGCGCCAGCGCCATGCTAAACCCTAAATAAAATTAAAATAACAATAATAAAAAAATACTTTTGCCCTAGGAGCTACTACCTCCTGCTGCCTGCTACTGCCCTGCTGTGGGCACGCGCTGCCCTGCTGTGGCCGCGCGCCGCCCTGCTGCTCTTACTGCTGCTGCTGCTACTCGTGCTACTGCCTTCACTCCGATTGCCCTAGAGGTTGCGCTCCTCCTAGCTTGCCCGCCATGACTTCCCTTTGTTGTACCGGTGGGAGTGGTGACGGCGGTGGTGGCAGCAGTGGGAGTGGTGGCGGCCGTGGTAGCAGTCACTGTGGCGCTGTTTGGTGTGGAGTGTCTGGCGTTGGCCAGATGCAGCTACGGCGGCGTCCGACGCTTACGCCCCGGCAGTTTCGTAAGTGGCTTTACCAGCGTGGGCCGACTCCGAGTCTGGATCGCTGCCCGTACGTCATTCGCACAGGTCTTCGAGCTAGTGAGACCTATGGGACACCTGGTCACGCACAGTCCCGCTGCTTCGCCTATTTGACTGACGAAGCTGAGATCCCCCCTTGGCTTGAGCTGCTTAGGTCGAGCGTTGCTGTCTTTGCTTTAGACTATGACGCCATCCTTACTGCCATGTGTGCTCTGCCTGGTGGTGCCGAGAGTGACTATCACCTGTGTGTGCAGTACGACCAGGACATAGAGGTTGCTGCTCTAGGTGCTGGTGAGGCTGCTGCCTTAGGTGCTAGCGGGTCTACTTCCTCAGGTACTGCGCTTGTTGAGGCCTTGCACACCTTCACGCTTGACTCAGGTGCTTCCCGCTGCTTCTTTCGTGACAGTACTGCACCCACACCACTCCCTGCACCTGTTGCATTCTCTCTGGCTGACCCCTCAGGGGGCCCAGTTCTTGCACGGTCCACCACTATGCTTCCGTGCCCGGCGGTTCCGTCTGGCTCACTGACAGGCTTCCACCTCCCCTCGTTCTCTACGAACTTGGTGAGCAACGCAGTTCTCTAGGACCAGTGGATTGACACCTTTACCCCTAGAGGACAGCGTGTGGCAATCTGTACGTGCTCCCGGACCGGCCGCCACCTGGCCACGTTTACCCGTCGGCCAAGGTCGAGTCTTTACACACTGACGACTGCGCCTCCTCTGGTAGCTGCTACTAGTCAAGTTTCTGCATCAGGTCAGGTAGCCTCCCCTTGTGAGTGTTGCTCCCTGACGCACCAGACTCTTCTCTGGCACCACCGCCTGGGCCACCCCTCCCTGCCACGTCTACGTGGCATACACCGTCGCCTCCTTGTGTCTGGTCTTCCCAGGTATCTCCCTCCCCTCCCTGCCTCGCCTGCGCCGCCCTGCCTTTCTTGCGGCGAGGGGCGGCAGCGCGCCGCTCCTTACTCCTCCTCGTTTCCCCCGACAGAGGCTCCTCTGCAGACCCTCCACCTGGACGTGTAGGGCTCAGCCCGTGTTCGTGGACAGGGCGGTGAGCGGTACTTTCTGCTGGTTGTCGATGACTACTCACAGTACACCACGGTCTTTCCCTTGCGCACCAAGGGTGAGGTCCCTGTCCTGATCCCTTGGATCCAAGCAGTTCGTCTCCAGATCTGCCGCAGGTTCCGCCAGGACCTTCCTGTCCTGCGTCTGCACTCTGACAGAGGTGGTGAGTTCACCTCCAACCTTGTGTCAAGGGGAGGGCATCGAGCAGACGTTCACGCTTCCGGCCTCACCACAGCAAAATGGGGTTGCTGAGCGCCGCATTGGTTTAGTCATGGCAGTCGCTCATACCTCCTTGATTCATGCGGCGGCTCCCCATTTTCTGTGGCCGTTTGTGGTCCGGTACGCCGCACAGCAGCTCAACCTCTGGCCCCATGTCTCCTTGCTAGAGACCTCGCCCACACTGCGTTGGACGGGGGAGGTTGGCAATGCGTCGCGTTTCCGAGTCTGGGGTGCTCATGCCCTTGTCTGCGATACGGCCGCGGACAAGCTCTCCTCCCGCTCCATTCCCTGTGTCTTC